AAGTTCATATTGCACCAGCAACGACTCCTAATCCATTGGCACTACTTCCCTCAATGAAGACTCTACTAAACTCCATTTGTAATAAACAAATTACAGTATCTTAACAAACTGATCCAAAGACATACACTCAAACAGTGTTTCCACACCATTAAAGAGGTGAGGTGAGGTGAAATGGGGTTTAACGTCGCGTCCAAGATTATTGCACTTATATAGCGACGTGCATGTACGTGTGTGTTTGTGTGGCTGCTTGTACTAGTCCGGATTTATAGTGCTAGCTCACTGAGATACCATGCCGCAGTTTAACATGAATACCCCACTCAGACACAGTATACTGACTCCGAGCCGACCAGTCCTTGTTTTAGCCCCTTAATGCCAAGCGCCAGACAGGGTAACAACAAGTACCATCTTTTAACGTCTTTTGGTATGACGCGGTCGGGGATCGAACCCCGGACCCCATTAAAGAGACACCAATGAGGACAATGAGAATAACCAACAAGCTTCAAGGTATCACAGATTATCTGTCTCTAGTGAGTGAATAGTGCTTATCTCGAGTAAATTGCAAGAATCTTACAGCGTTCATTCATAAGGGACAGATAATCCGTAATTTGAGTTTCGAGTAGGTCATTCCATATATTCCTCATTGACATTTCAAGAGAGAAAATAAAGAAAAAAACATATGAAATGTGAACATTACAGAGAAACTTCACTGAGGGCAGCCTATTGTTATGATGATGTATTGTAATCATCTGTGATGTCATGAACAATGGATGACATCATATCTTCAATTGACCAATCAGCATTGAGGACTGCCAAAATGCACATGTGTAAATTTCAGAAAGTCATTACACACGATCATTCTTTCCTTATGGGTAATATATTCATTTTGAACACACTGAAGTGGAGAATACATCAAATAGACCTCTTTTTTCTTTTTAGTAATTTGGGGTTGAACAGAGACTGATTCCAGTCTACATGATGTTCAGTTCTGTTTGACATTGTTTCACCATAACAGCATTACTGTACATACTCTCTGAGACTTTTTAAAAAAATAACAGAATGCTAAAATATTATACATATTTGGAGAGGGTCTTCACATATTTCACACTCAAGGATGTCATTTTCCTGCCCACTCCTGTCCCAAAGCCAGGTCCCTGGACAGACAGAACAATTTGCTCGAGCTTACGTCTGGACAGTGGGTCAACTCTGGCTTTCATATTGTTTGGTTCAATTCCTCAATGTATATAAGACTCTTCCAAGGGCATGATTAGATATGCATGAATGTCTTCTTGTTCTATACACTTAATGAAACGCAATATAAAAGGTGGAAAAATAATACAAAAATGCAGTAGATATTTCAAGCACAATACACAAAAATGTAAAAAATGACAAAAAGTTATGATATTTTGTTTACAAAAGTAGCATAAAAAATAAATAAAATGAAATGCAAACAAGAAATATGAACAATTGGTACAACAAGAAGCATGAAAGTATTTCACCTGCATGTTTTCAACTAGTTAGCTATGTAAACAATTTGTTTGTTCTTTTTCACTAAAACATATCTTTATCAATATACCGTATTCGACGTAATAAGCGCCCCGCTCTAATAAGCGCCCACTACGACATTTGCTAATATATTTGCTGGCGAACAATCCCAATTAGCTCCCCTTCCGATTGATCAATGTACACAAGACTTATTTATTCGTGTATAATACGCACTCGTCTGTTATATGCACCCTTAATTATGTGCAATTAAAATCGGGAAAATATATCTGTCATGTATGATGCTTTTCTTTTGTATCATTTCAGGCTGTCAGCATAAACTACGAAATTTACAAATTTTCAACTCTGTTTTTGTATCACCCAAATTATTTTCTAATGAGAGACCCCTATTTCTAATTTTGAGAGCGCCCCGGGCGCTTATCACGTCAAATACAGTAATTCTTTTGCAAATAACACCATGACTTCAGTCCATCCCAGGTTCCACTGCCACGTGTAGACCTCATCTTGCCAATCACAGACATTGTAATGAGTGAGTGAGTGAGTATGGTTTTACGTCGCTTTTAGCAATATTCCAGCAATATCACGGCGTGGGACACCAGAAATGGGCTTCACACATTGTACCCATGTCAGGAATCGAACCCGGGTCTTCGGCGTGACGAGCGAACGCTTTAACCACTAGGCTACCCGACCGCCCCGACATTGTAATGAACTGTGATAACGTTAGCCTAATCATGTTGTAAGTATGGCTCAATTTCAGTTTGATTAAATTCAAAACATTTACTCTGATATGATTATTATTATCTGTGTGAAGATCTGAAATCACTACCATCGAATGTCGCATCAGGTGAACTATCTAATCAGCCAATCAGCATCGAGGCTTCTAAACTCATGGTACAGTGAGTGGAACATTCAGACGACCATATCAGATCTCTAAAACAAATATAATTGTGAAAATACAACAGCACTATTATAATATTGATGTTTAATACATGTTGTCGTTTCTGAGTACCAAGGCATCCACATGCACAGTGGTGTACTATTGAGGGTATATTTGGGTCCTGTAGCAGTTCCCTTTGGAAGAGATCAAAATTTCTCAATCGAGGCGTTAAAGATATGAAGCTGAATTGTTTTAGAAAGCTGGCATCGGATTGGATCAAGAACCCATGCATCCTACATTTTGATTGGGTGTTGTTTAGCGTTCACCTGGCGCAACCTTCTACGGAGGTGTCTGCAAATCTTGACACAGCGAGGTATAATTTTGGAGTAGAAGATGCGAATTTTAGAGTGAGTGAGTTTAACGCTGCTTTTAACAGTATTCAAGTTATATCGTGTCAGCTTAATGTTGGAGGAAAGCCCGAAGTGATACAGTTCTCAAACCTTTACCACTTCGGTGAAACCCATGAGCACGGGTATGCTGACAATCCTTGAAACATAATTGGGGCATACCGGGATTTGAACCCACCACAAGCATCGGTTTTTGGCGTGCCCTTGGGATGCAACTCTTCACAGCGAATCGCGGCGTCTTAGACGACTGGACCGACCATGCCCCACACATATATGACTATATGTCATATTCATGTAATCTGACTATCTCTAATGTGTGCCTTATACTGTTCCTGAGTCAAATATGTTGGTCTGTGTTGAAACATTCTAAGTAATAATATTGACCCTTCCTGTTGGGGAAGGGTTTAAAACAGACTATTATGGATGATTAGAATGATATTGCAATTTTCGAATTGATGATCCGACATGTTTGATGCATAATAAATAACAGTTCATGATTAAATGCTGATGATGATACAATATTACACAAGATTTCCACAGCCACATGGAACAAGCTGTACGAAGAGAAGACAGCTCTAGTTATCTCCCTTGGTCTACGATTTCAAAAGCTATCATCCCCCACAACAACAGTATTTACACAAACCAATAACAGTTTGGTTTCAGTGTAATACAAATTATTTCTGCATATTTTTGTGTTGCAGTATCTTTGTCTCTGAACATTTTACAATCATTGATTCAATTCAGTCGTGATTAGTACTCATCCATAACAATATAAATATGTTGGAACTGAGATTAGGGTATTTTTCTCGATCTGTAACCACTCAGGGTTGTGTACACCTTTGTTTGCACTTTATCAACACATCTTGTAAAACCATAAGTGTCTAAGCGTGGATACAGATCTTATGAAAATTGGCGGGACCCTCAAAATTGAAAAAAATGCCAGCACCAAATTCAGTAAACAACAATTTGTTGTTTATTGAAAACATGTTACCAAATGATTTATGTGTTTGAACATGTCAACAGGTTTAGTGTGCTTCAAAGAGGGTGCATGTGCACCCGTGCACCATCACCCCCCTACCTCCCTCTGGATCTGCGTCTGGTGTCTGATTGGTTCAATATGTTTTGTGACAAAAGTCACTTTTGTCAATAGTGTTCTGGTTCTGGAGTTTGCCCTCAAAATGGTGTTTTATTAACAAACTACAATAAATTTCATTTTGGTTTATAAAAGACGTGTCGCTGTCACACAGAATTACTCTCCTCACACATCAATATATCAGCGTTAGAAATTGGCACTAGTCCTGTAGTTCTTGCCTAACTGGCCAATAGTTTGTTTGGTTTGGTTTGTTTGTTGTTTAACGCCGCACTCAGCAATATTCCAGCTATATGACGGCGGTCTGTAAATAATCAAGTCTGGACCAGACAATCCAGTGATTAATATCATGAGCATCGATCCAAGAAATTGAGATCGATGACATGCATCAACCAAGTCAGCGAGCCTGACCACCCGATCCCGTTCGTCGCCTTTTACGGCAAGCATGACTGGTCAATAGTAAAGGTATTATAAGGACTAGTAGAAATTTGCCATTTTTAAGGGTTTTGCTATATGTTATCATTATAAGGACAAGTAGACTAAAACAATTCGTTGCAACTCTAGAAGCCATTTTTAGCACATTGTGAAAATACTTTTGACCTGGACAGATTGATTAGAATGTAGCAATATAATCAACAACTATGAAAATACTCTAACAAGTTTGTAACATGTCAATATGGCCTGCCATACTGGACAAACAGTGAGTTGGGTTTAACGCCGCTTTTAACAGTATTCCCGTTATATCACTGCGTGTCAGCTTCATGTGGGAGCAAAACCCGAAGTAAAACCCGAAGTGATGCAGGTCTCGGACGTTTACCACTTCGGTGAAACCCATGAACATGTATATGGTGTGACAAACCTAGAAACATTTTTGGGCAAAACAGGATTTGAACCACGACCATAGGTTTCTGGTATGCCCAAGGGACACAACTCTTCTCTACTGAGCACTATTAACAATATTTAGCACAGACCATCAAGCATTGAATAGCTTTGCACAAATTGAGGTATGAATTTGAATTTTTCGATTAAATGATATCAAAAATGTTTTGATCAAAGGGTTATCAGTAAACCACAAAAATGTAAAAGTGTGGCTATATGCTTAGATATTAAAATATGCATCAACCTATGGACAACATAAACAAGGGGGACAACTAGCACAATAACATTCGTTAAGAGTGGATGGAGATCCATATGGAAGATTCTTGAAGCTGATTAAGTTGTCTCCCTTTACCCAGCTTTCTTGCTCTCCTCCAACTCACGCTCGGCCACATCAATGATGGCCAGGTTTTGACAAGCTGTTACGAGATGGACGCCGCTGATGCCCGCTTTGATGAAGGAGAGAGGGGCACACAGGTAGAGCAGGAGGGTCCACAGTCCGATAGACAGGGGGCCCAGAGGCACTGAGGGCATTAAAGAATTGGGTCAAGGTCTGTTTGTACATAAAACTACTTGAACATCATTCAAGAAATGAAGTTTGTTTATTTGTTGTTTAACGCCACACTCAGCAATATTCCAGCTATATGACGGCGGTCTGTAAATAATCGAGTCTGGGACAGACAATCCAGTGGTATTGATATAATGAGCATCGATCTACGCAATTGGGATACGATGACATGCATCAACCAAGTCAGTGAGCCTGACCACCCGATCCCTCTTGCAACAACCACAGTTGCCTTTCATGGCAAGCATGGGTTGCTGAAGACGTATTCTACCCCGGATCTTCGCGGGTCCAAGAAATGAAGTGTTAGCCTTTGGACAGTGTTGTATATTGAATAGATTTACAACACAATGTCAGATTGAATATCTACATGTGGACACTCATAATCCTGCACATGATCTCATGTGTTTCTGGTTGTGACCTCATATGTAAGGTCTTTGATATGTCTGCACATTACTTCATATATATCTGTGTGACCTCATATGTAAATTGTATGCGAAACATTAACTCTACATAACTTCATACGATTTGTATTTGACATGACTTCATAATGCCCAATAAGGAAGTGACTTACAAGATTTATCTTTACGTATTCCATCACAATCATGACAAAAGTTTAATGTCTGCAAGATTCTCCACGTTTAAGACTCACATATGGGTCCAGGGGTCCAGTAGGTCAGGTACAACAGACAGAAGAACAGCTCATTGGCAGCACACATCACAAACAGAATTGTCTGCAAGGAATAAAAATGTTCAAATGATGCAGTGTTTTAAATAAAATACGGAGAACAGCTATGGAGAAACACTCCAGAGTAAAGCTATGGTGAACCAAGATGGAGAACCACGATGGAGAACCGCTATGGAGAAACACTCCAGAGAATCACTACAGAGAACCACGATGGAGAACCGCTATGGAGAAACGCTCCAGAGAATCACTCAAGAGAAAAGCTATGGTGAACCACGATGGAGAACCGCTACGGAGAAACGCTCCAGAGAATCACTACAGAGAAAAGCTATGGTGAACCACGATGGAGAACCGCTATGGAGAAACGTTCAAAAGAATCACTACAGAGAACCACAATGGAGAACCGCTATGGAGAAACGCTCCAGAGAATCACTACAGAGAACCACGATGGAGAACCGCTATGGAAAAACGCTCCAGAGAATCACTACAGAGAACCACGATGGAGAACCGCTACGGAGAAACGCTCCGGAGAATCACTCAAGAGAAAAGCTATGGTGAACCACGATGGAGAACCGCTATGGAGAATCACTACAGAGAACCACGATAGAGAACCGCTATGGAGAAACGCTCAAGAGAATCACTCAAGAGAAAAGCTATGGTGAACCACGATGGAGAACCGCTATGGAGAAACGTTCAAAAGAATCACTACAGAGAACCACAATGGAGAACCGCTATGGAGAAACGCTCCAGAGAATCACTACAGAGAACCACGATGGAGAACCGCTATGGAGAAACGCTCCAGAGAATCACTCAAGAGAAAAGCTATGGTGAACCACGATGGAGAACCGCTATGGAGAAACGCTCCAGAGAATCACTACAGAGAACCACGATGGAGAACCGCTACGGAGAAACGCTCAAGAGAATCACTCAAGAGAAAAGCTATGGTGAACCACGATGGAGAACCGCTATGGAGAAACGCTCCAGAGAATCGCTACAGAGAACCACGATGGAGAACCGCTATGGAGAAACGCTCAAGAGAATCACTCAAGAGAAAAGCTATGGTGAACCACGATGGAGAACCGCTATGGAGAAACGCTCCAGAGAATCACTACAGAGAACCACGATGGAGAACCGCTATGGAGAAACGCTCCAGAGAATCACTACAGAGAACCACGATGGAGAACCGCTATGGAGAAACGCTCCAGAGAATCACTACAGAGAACCACGATGGAGAACCGCTATGGAGAAACGCTCCAGAGAATCGCTACAGAGAACAACGATAGAGAACCGCTATGGAGAAACGCTCCAGAGAATCACTCAAGAGAAAAGCTATGGTGAACCACGATGGAGAACCGCTATGGAGAAACGCTCCAGAGAACAGCTACGGTGAACCACGATGGAGAACCGCTACAGAGAACCGCTCCAGAGAACAGCTATGATGAACCACTACAGGTTCTACTACACCAAATCAGAACCAGTTTGGACAGTGCGGTTTTCGTAGGGAGCCTTCAGTGCAGATCGAGAGATATCTGCAGGCTGTGATTGGAGGATATTCTGTAAGATTTTTATGTCTTTCAAATGTACATCCATCCAGTTATTAAAACTGACCATGTTTTTCAATATTTAGTACTGTCTTTTTCAACATGATGACTTATGCTGAATGTGACCACAGCTATTTTCAAGTAGGTGACATTTGGTGCGAAACTGGGGGTGGTGTGTTTAGCTTCCGGTACTCGGAAAAGGAGCTGGCTAAGCTAGTCATTTTTTATTTTTTTATTGCTGCTCTAAGGCCAAACTGTGCACACACGTACAGGTAATAGCTGTTGAATCCTTAGTTATTTTTAAAAAAAATATAACGTTACTATAGAAGTCTATGGGAAAACATTTGGTTGTGTGTAACCTATAGAGAACCACAATGGAGAACCGCTATGGGGAAACGCTCCAGAGAAACACTCTAGAGAACCGCTAGAGAGAGCTGCTAAGGAAAACCACTACAGAGAACCTCTCCAGAGAACCTCTCCAGAGAACCACTAGGGGGAAATTGCTTTGTGTTTATGTTTCCATAAACCAAACGGGAGTTTGGCCACCCCGTCTAGCAGACTACTGTTTCGTGATTGGTTGATAATAAATAGAACGGGGGAGGCTTGCGTCGCATCATAGCTCTGAAAGATGTCATTGATTTCGTAATGTTTTGTTTCGTAACATGTTAATGTTTAAAATGCCTTCTGTGAAGTTATTTTTGTTAATGCATTTATTCATAAAAAAATTTCGACATATTGTTGCGGCTATGTAGTTATAAACATTATCCTGTGTGCACTGTGGTATTTCTTATAAGGAGTTTCTACTTTTATAACTCAACAACCACAAAAAATATTAAGTGAGCAGCAATATTTCAGCAATATCACGATGAGGCACAAGAGAAATGGACTACACGTATTGTACCAATGTGAGGAAACAAACCTGGGTGACAAACAAACATATTAACCACTAGGCTAACCCAGAAATATCAGAAGTTAATTCTTGAATCTTCATAAGAATGAAGGGCGGTCGGGTAGCCTAGTGGTTAAAGCGTTCGCTCGTCACGCTGAAGACCCGGGTTCGATTCCCGACATGGGTACAATGTGTGAAGCCCATTTCTGGTGTCCCCCGCCGTGATATTGCTGGAATATTGCTAAAAGCGGCGTAAAACCATACTCACTCACTCACTCATAAGAATGATATGATACAAACAGTCAAATCGCTACCTGCATCCATTCACAATTTGTATGCGTATAGGTAAAACCGACCTAACATCGATCCATGTAAGCAAAACGTGATACGATGGGTAACCAGAGAGCTAAGATCAATCGTGACTGAGCAAGAAAACATTCATGCATTAGGCTTAAAAAAATAAAAGAATTGGTTCTCAGGCAATGACTTTTGAAAATATTGTGTGTGCAGGCGGTGCTTTGTTGGTGTATTTTCACTTGATGAAACTAGTATGTGCCCAAATAAACAGTTGTGTACCATCAACCTGGGAAAGGGCCTCTCTACATAAACAAGCATACAAACTCCTATTGCTGCCATGACCATAACACGAGATGCACAGTAAAGCAGTGTGCATGTAAAGGGAGGTAACTGTGTGCTATATTGGATCGCATGGTTGTTTAGTATTAGGATTTTTATGTTTTTTTGAAAATGGAAATAAAAACAAAACGTGAGGCAGACCTTATGATGATGCTGGCGTGCCTGAGAACCAAGACTATTATTTGCTTTAGCCTTATTCAGTGAGTAATATTTTCCATAGTACAACAACCCCTCACTCAATATCCAAGCCAGCTGGTGGAATGTCAAGTTACCATGGTTACCGTCAGGGACCTGGTTTCAACACTGGTGATTGTCTCATGGAAAAGAATATGGGTGGAACTCATGACTGCAGAGACAACAATCATGGCTTTTCTCACAGAGAATAAAACAAAGACCGTCTCCGTGACGAGGTGAGGTGAGGTGAAATGGGGCTCAACGTCGCGTCCAAGATTATTGCACTGATATAGCGACGTGCATGCACGTGTGTGTGTGTGTGTGTGTGTGTGTGTGTGTGTGTGTGTGTGTGTTTGTGGCTGCTTGTACTAGTCCAGACTAATGCCGATTTTATGATGCTAGCCCACTGAGATACCATGCTGCAGTTTAACATGAATACCCCACTCAGACACAGTATACTGACTCTGAGCTGACCAGTCCTTGTTTTAGCAACTTAATGCCGAGCGCCAGACAGGGTAACAACAAGTACCATCTTTTAACGTTTTTTGGTATGACACGGCTGGGGATCGAACCCCGGACCTTTCACTCTCTGGGTGGAAGCTCTACCACTAGACTTTGGAGGCGGCCTCGCCGTGATGAACACATACATCATGTGTCTCATGAACACGAATATTGTCACACCACGGATAACAATAATGGGCCTCTCACAGAGAATCAAACCAAGACGGTCTCCGTGACGAGCACATAAGCCATGAGTGAGTGAGTGTGTGTGTGAAAGATATTCCTGTTATATCATCTTATATCAAACCCAAAATTATGGATATCATGAAGACAGACCAATGATCATGAGGGGGGAGAAAATTGGATTTGAACCAGAGGATCCTGGTATAGGTTAGGGAGATAACTCTGTATGTTGACCACTAGGTACTCAACTCACCCTGTTGTGGTAGTAATGGCGTAGAATGAAGTTGCCAGACAGGTCGATGGTTTTGTGACTGTTCTTCCCTGCCAGCATGCAGCTGTAATGAGGATATCATCATCATCATCATCATCATCATCATCATCAACAACATTACTCCTTATCATTAACATTGTCCTCATCTTCATTCATATATCCTACATCAACATTATTTTATCATCCAAAACCGACATCCACAGGAGGTGTCACGTGGCTGCTGAATTCTACCCCGATATCTTGTAGGAGATATCACTACAACGAAAATGCATCTCATCGCTTTGGAGACCATTGTGACATCATTAGTTGCCATGACATCACAATCATACGGAAGCCTTTAGGGGACATTTGTTTTTTTATTTTTGTCTTAAAATTCGGAGATACTAACTTATGAGATCATTATCTTGAAATATAACAAAGATCCAGTGACTAAGAATGTCGACCTACCTCTGGACATGGATCCAGTGACTGAAGATGTGGACCTACCTCTGGACGTGGATCCAGTGACTGAAGATGTGGGCCTACCTCTGGACATAGATCCAGTGACTGAAGATGTGGACCTACCTCTGGACGTGGATCCAGTGACTGAAGATGTGGACCTACCTCTGGACGTGGATCCAGTGACTGAAGATGTGGACCTACCTCTGGACATGGATCCAGTGACTGAAGATGTGGACTTACCTCTGGACGTGGATCCAGTGACTGAAGATGTGGACCTACCTCTGGACATGGATCCAGTGACTGAAGATGTGGACCTACCACTGGACATGGATCCAGTGACTGAAGATGTGGACCTACCTCCGGACATGGATCCAGTGACTGAAGATGTGGACCTACCTCCGGACATGGATCCAGTGACTGAAGATGTGGACCTACCTCCGGACGTGGATCCAGTGACTGAAGATGTGGACCTACCTCTGGACGTGGATCCAGTGACTGAAGATGTGGACCTACCTCTGGACATGGATCCAGTGACTGAAGATGTGGACCTACCACTGGACATGGATCCAGTGACTGAAGATGTGGACCTACCTCCGGACATGGATCCAGTGACTGAAGATGTGGACCTACCTCCGGACGTGGATCCAGTGACTGAAGATGTGGACATACCTATGTACGTTGATCCAGTGACTGAAGATGTCGACCTACCTCTGGACGTGGATCCAGTGACTGAAGATGTCAAGGGCCATACTGAACTGGAAAAACAGCATGTACTTGGGGTAGAAGAAGCAGAGGGCTCCACACAGACACATTGTGGTGATCCGGTCGATCAGCTGGTCCAACATGTGACCCAGGCGGCTTCCTAGAACATTAAAACTTCAGCTAACTCAAACACCTACATTAATTGACCGTGCAAGAAGATTACTTCCGGAAAACTGAAAGACATGGCTTGCAGTATACCAGATACCATCAACATGTTTTATTGACAACAAATTACAACAAATTGCCGATTCAAAATCACTTACCGTTTGTCAGCTTCATGCTCCGCGACACAATTTAACATTACATTACATTCAACCATGACCAGATGACCATATTTACATTCTAATTTGTGGTATAATCATACAAATCTGTTAGTGTTATCAACATTCTGACCATGTTTCTGAGGTTGTTCATTTGGGAGGCTTTTAAATATGGCTGACATGTATCCCATATGCTGCACATGTACCAAAGAAATTATCTAAGGCTGATGCTGGTGAATTGAACACATTCAACAAATGTAACAATAGCATCTATGACTAATATACACTTTTTATTATTTGGCTTAAAAAAATGGACTACAAGGGTTGAGTGATAAGTTCTGAGCCACAAATAGAAGGAACTGCGCAATAGTAAAATATTTTGTTGTGGACATCATCTGGTCAAATGTACCTCAGTGACAAATCAGTAAATGAAGCAGGGGTCTTTGACCTTGTGAGTGAGTGAGTGAGTGAGTGAGTGAGTGAGTGAGTGAGTGAGTGAGTGAGTGAGTGAGTGAGTGAGTGAGTGAGTGAGTGAGTGAGTGAGTGAGTGAGTGAGTGAGTGAGTGAGTGAGTGAGTGAGTGAGTGAGTGAGTGAGTGAGTGAGTGAGTGAGTGAGTGAGTGAGTGAGTGAGTGAGTGAGTGAGTGAGTGAGTGAGTGAGTGAGTGAGTGAGTGAGTGAGTGAGTGAGTGAGTGAGTGAGTGAGTGAGTGAGTGAGTGAGTGAGTGAGTGAGTGAGTGAGTGAGTGAGTGAGTGAGTGAGTGAGTGAGTGAGTGAGTGAGTGAGTGAGTGAGTGAGTGAGTGAGTGAGTGAGTGAGTGAGTGAGTGAGTGAGTGAGTGAGTGAGTGAGTGAGTGAGTGAGTGAGTGAGTGAGTGAGTGAGTGAGTGAGTGAGTATTGTTTTATGTCGCTTTTAGCAATATTCCAGCAATATCACGACGGAGGACACCAAAAATGGGCTTCACACATTGTACCCATGTGTTGTGGACATAACATCTTTCATAAAGGTATATCCACAAACACCTGCATCGTCTGGACAAATGTTCCTCAGTGACCAGTAAATGAAACAGGGGTCTTTGACCTTTTGGTTGAGTGAGTGAGTATTGTTTTATGCCACTTTTAGCAATATTCCAGCAATATCACGGCGGGGGACACCAAAAATGGGCTTCACACATTGTACCCATGTGGAGAATCGAACCCGGGCCTTCAGCGTGACGAGCGAACACTTTAACCACAAGGCTACCCCACTGCCCTGTGACCTTTGGAAAATGGACAACTTGAGGAACATGCAGTGATCAAGTACTTGTATATGAGACTTAGAACTTATGAACCAACCCTATGGTCTTGTGTCAAACAAATGTTCTTGTTAACCATGTATACGATGCTGCTTGTTAACCACGTTAACAGTTTACAAATCTGGATGTTTTAAGCACAAACGGCTAACTCGTTACTTCATTGTGAAGGATGGGTTTTATGCAGCTTTTAGCATTATTCCATAGCGGCATGGGGCACCCATTAACATGATTAAGGGCTTCACACAATGGGAATACTAATGTGCCTGGGAATATCAGCTCTTACACTGTACGCGAGCATCTGCTCGCAATGTACTGTTGGCCCGTGGCCTCCTGTTCACAGTCACAGCTGACACAGAATACAGTCCTTTTTTTATATTTTTGTACAAAATGTTCATTGAATGTGAGTAAATATTTCTTTAAACAGGTTTTGCAATATTTCAACCATATTACTGGGGTCACCAGAAATGGGCTTCACACACTGTATCTGTTTGGGAATTGAACCAGGGCCTTTGGCAGGACAAGCAAACACCTTAACCAGTAGGCTACCCCTCCACCCTACTCAGCAAGGGGTAAGGATGCTTTGGGCACAACACCCCCCATTTGGGTATGAACTGTTTTCAGCATCTTAGCACAATCAATACATTTCGAGAAGCTTTTACTTACTTTGTTTGTGTATTTGTTTGTTAGTTTGTTGCTTAAAGGTGCAATCAAAGAATCAAGCTCTATGACAGCAGTCAGTAAATAACCCAGTCCAGACCAGACAATCTAGTGATTGATATGGTGAAGAGTGAGTAAGTGAGGTTTTACATCGCTTTTAGCAATATTCCAGCAATATCACGGCGGAGGACACCACAAATGGGCTTCACACATTATACCCATGTCTGGAATCGAACGCAGGTCTTCTGCGTGACGAGTGAACGCTTATACCACTAGGCTACCCGACCGCATCGACATGGTGAAGAATGATCCACACTGCCGTATATGATGACACACAAGTCACCAAGCCTGACCACCCAATCCATTTGGTCACCTGTTACAACCAGCATCGGGTTTGGGGACCAAATCTAACCCGGACTCACCACAGGACTTGACTTACCTTGATTGAGCATTCTCGCCGCATGGCCGTCAAAGGCATCGAGGAAGCCACTCAACAGGTACAAGATGGACGCCTTCACGTGATCATGGGGCATGTAGTAGAAGGACATGAACGCGAAGATCACACGGAAATAATCTGGAACCCAACACAGGAGAATCACTTTGACACTACTTGTCAGCCAGCTCATATACAGTGTTCGAAATACCTGTCTGCCCGACCGTCCGAGACGGGTTGATTTCAACTCGGGCTGCCAGATTTTCAATCCCCCTGCCCGACGGTTGGGTTATATTTCATAGGTGAAAATATTCTAAATATTTCCTGATGATAAGCATTAATTCACATGTAAAGATGAATGATAAAATGTAACCAAAAAGAAACCCCGTTAGCTTATCCTGAGAAACATATGATTATAGTGGGCAGGCAGGTTTTGGTCAGGGCTGGTAAGTATTTCAGCTAGCCAGTCCTGTGGTCTGGCTGAAATTTTGGGGAGTTTCATACCCTGTCATATAGCATCTTGTTTTGCATCAATAATTTTGGTTGTAAAATGGTGGTATGCCTCCACATTCATCATTCATATGGAAAGTCTCTGTGTTCATGTGTAGTATTTTGTACCTACATATGACAGAGTCAGACAGTCCATATTGCAGAGCTCCAGATAAGCTGCGTATCTGCGTAAAATACGCATCAGAAATGCAGAAATATGCAGTAAAATAAAATCCAAGCGTATCAAATACGCAACGAACATTACAGATACACTACAAAAATAAAACTTGTGCATATCATCAAAATATTGTGAAGTAACCCTGCGTATTCAATTGGCAACACAGCAACTTATTTTGAAATTATAAACGGCCATTCCGTCAACCATGCCAAACATCATGATCATTTGCCATCACACTTTCTTTGGGAAGTAGTGTGGTATTTTTTAGTCCTATAAAGCTCTCGAACCCACACGGCACCAGTTTGCAGGGACTAGATGAATAGTGTTTTTAAATATTTAACTTAAATACCCACATGTGTAAAAACTAGTGGGTAACAGAAATTTGAATACCCAGATAGAATTACTGATACCCAATGATTTTAAAATGCATGGGTAAAATACCCACAACACCAAAAGCTTATCTGGAGCTCTGATATGGCTAGGCCAGTTGTTCTTGTTCTTCACAATCAAGTCCTAGAAGTACCAAATCTTTGAGTCTACTAGAAATAACCCGTCTCTTGGTATCATTTTCAGCAGTGCCCATAGGCAAATTTTGAATTGTTTCTATCTTGTTCAACATTTGTATATTATTAAGTTCTTATTTTAAAATTCAAAGCTACTTTAACATTACATGCATCATAGTTAATAATATATGAACAAATTGCAAGTGATTTTGTTGCATTTGACAAAAAAAGAAAAAAAAGTAGGCCACATCGACTAATGGAGTACTGTTTCCTGAGTGGCTGATAATGGAATGGGTGGGGCCTGTGTTGCATTATTGTGCTGAATGATGTCACTCATTTTATGATGTCAACAATTTTGGATGTGTTAAAGATTAAATAAACACTCTGAAATGTTATATCATTTTTGACGCACATAAATTTATTTTTAAGAATTGACTTCAGCATGGTTTTTTTGTGTTTATGGAGGTATAAATATAAAAACCAATGCACAGATTTACACAGTTTGCCCTCTGTATTTTTATGTTTATAGCTCCATAAAAGTAAAATATATTGAAGTCCATTCTTAACTGGTAACTAAACATCATAAGTGTCTCCTCCTTCTGTTGGTCCTGTTATCGGCCACTTGGCTAATCATAACTATAACAATATGAATTGGGAATTTTTACTGACTTCAGATTTGGGGCCAAATATTGTACTTTCAGCTGATAAAACCTTTCAGGTCCTATTGATCTGCACAATGGCTTACATCCCACAATGTAACATGTAAAATAGAGATAAGCATAATTGATAATTGCAGTTATTCAACTTGATTTTATATTTTCAAAATCCAAGAGGTAGAAAAGGTCAATGCTGAATATATGTACTGATGACAGCAGATCCTATTGTAGTCTGAAACTGAGAAACTTTCCCAAGATTTATTGTGTCCTTCATCAATTTCACTCAAGTATCAGACACATTGTTGATCAAGAGGGTCCAATCAGTAATGTGTGAAGTTGATAATTTCAAACAACAACCAATATGCGTATGTCACCTTGGTAAATATGTTTTAAACATCTTGTAATGATAATTGATTAAGTAATTATTGTTGACAAGCTTTGATTTCATCAAATTTTACGATTAGATCAATAATATTTTCCTGAATTCCAAACTGACACAATAGACATTTTCCATGTTGGTGCAAAGTAACCTAATAGTGATATCGTGAACTCACGATTGGTCATTTATGTGCAAATACATGTACCTTAGTATGTATATTGCAAATCATGTTCCTATAATTACTGAACACAAATGTCAACAAGGTGCCCCTCCCCCCATATGGACCCTCAGTATTTAGAACCAAGGAAATTATTAATGCACTTTGGAGGAATGTAATAAATAAAATGAAACATAAACGTACCTATGATGTTAGGGACGAACAAGAACACGTTTACTGCCATTTTGTCAGACACGTTGTCACAAGCAATGTAGAATTACTAATCCGAAATAAATAGAAAATGATCAGGAAACAGAACACGTCTCGAACAATCTCGCGAGAGAATTGCTTGGCGACGGGCTTGTCCATTCAAGATGGCCGCTTGAGAAAATGGACCATCCTTTGGATGAAAATGTTCATGAAACTGAAAAATATGCCTTTCTCTTAGGTTGTTCACTGCGAGAAAATAATTTAGAGCAGTTTTTCAGCGTCTACGACGCTATTCTACCGAAACACTTGTCGGAAAACCAGGTAAGAATTCCAGCATGGAATGCGCGTGGCGCAATAACTTTTGCAAAGTTTGTTTTGTCAACATATCATAATTAACATTATCACATGTATTGATAATGTTGCCATAAACAATTTAACTTTGACAAGAAATGTAATTTAATATAGCAACGAGTGACTTATATTGTTTCGAATGAAAGTGTATGCACTATGCAGTCACCTTGTGGGTTTGTTTTGAAAATATCAACGAGTTGTGTCCCTTTGAATCGTCAGCGACCTGGCACATTTACATATCATTATATATTAATCATAATCCCTCGACTGAGTAGCGTACGTAGTTTTGTATGACGTGTCTAGTGATTGTTTATTTGTAGAATTAGTTTCCCAATCTTTGATAGTCACTATTGATGCGTAAATAGTGCCAGAAAAGCAGCCCTTGTCCCAGTGGCCTTGAAACTCACGCCATGAATGCAGTCAATTGAAATGAACCCTGTCAGGTAGGCCTTGCGTCCTTGTGCAGCCAGTCTAAATATGGAGAAAGTCACACACAATATTTGACCCAAAACAAGGTACATTTACCAGAATGCATGTTTTGATAAGACATTTGCTTTGAGGAAATGTTTCCCTTATGCATGAATGAATGCAGTTAGAATATAAGGTCAAATCTTCAACAAGTCACAATGACATGAAATTATCAAGTCCCATTTTGCAATTGTTTTGAATTTGATGGTTAAAATAACTTCCATATCATTCAGTGTGCACAAGGAGGAAATGGAACAGTGGTAGTTTCATTGTGATATTGATGCTTGTGCTATTTGATAGACGTAGATGCTTACTTTCAGCTTATGAATTGGCGCATTATCAGTATGATAGCGTTCTAAGCAGTCTTGTGCATCTGGATGCATTGTACTCACACATAAAAACAATAAATAACACATTAAATTGTAAAATGGTTTCGGTAAATGTTTTAGATGGGTTTGCATTTGGTTTCACATGTTCAAATACCAGTTTGAACTATATAGAGGATGTAGATGCTTCTCTGAAATCAGTGAAGGATATTGAGCCTCAGTGTGTATGATATACAGGTTTGCCTTGTAAACACGAACTTAACATGTTCACTTTATTAATCAACTGTCCCAAGTACAGTGGGGCTAAATGGACAATACAGGATATGCGGACCAATACTGGTTTGTTGAGAGCAATCATAATGGGGATTGATTGCTGATTGACTGAATAAACAGCATTAGAAATAAGCACTAGTCCTGTAGTCATGGTAGTCCTTGCCGAACTGCCCAGTAGTTAAGGTATCATAAGGACGAGTGGAAGTTTTGGTCTATGTTATCAAAGGATAAGTGAACTAAAAATGTCAGTTTCTACCGCTCATGTACATATTGGTAATGTCCCTTATCCATTTGAGGGTGTAGCAGTCTCTGTATGAGAATATATTTTGTGTTTAACATATACAGTTTATGCTCTATTCTGTTTAAGATCATGATGATTGTATGGCAGAGCTCCAAATAAACTGCGTATCTGCGTAAAATAAAATCCAAGCCTATCAAATACGCAACGAACATTACAAATGCACTACAAAAATAAAACTTGTGCGTATCATCAAAATATTGTGAAGTAACCCTGCATATTCGATAAGCAAATCAGCAACTTATTTTGAAATTATAAACGGGCATTCCGTCAACCTTGCCCAACTCCACGATGACAGTTACATCATGATCATTTGCCATCACACTTTCTTGTGGAAGTATCGTGGTATTTTTTAGTCCTATAAAGCTCTCGAACCCACACGACACCAGTTTGCAGGGACTAGATGAATAGTGTTTTTAAATATGTAACTTAATTACCACCTGTGTAAAAACTAGTGGGTAACAGAAATTTGAATACCCATATAGAATTACTGATACCCAATGATTTTAAAATGCATGGGTAAAATACCCACAACACCAAAAGCTTATCTGGAGCTCTATATGGTCTCTGCATGGTGGGGACCAGGTGGCCCAGTCATCTCATTAGTCTAGTTGCATCCTTTGGGCATGCCTGAAACCTCGTCGGTTTGAATTCTGGTTTGCCCTGATTGTGTTTCTAAGTTTGTCAGCACCATCTCCGTGCTCATGGGTTTCACTTTAGACCTGCATCACTTCGGGCTGTACTGTCATATCTTTACATCATATTTGTTAATCTGATATTTGAAACATGAAACTAATAACTGATTATAATGTAACCATGGTAACTGTGCTTGTCTCAAACTTCTGATAGCTTGTTATCTGTTTGATGGTTTTCATTATTGTTCAAACAGTGAAACAGTTCATCATGATCACCGTCAATATGAAACAAGATCAGTCTCATAATTATTGTGTGCATTGTGTCTGTACATGCTTTATAGGTATCTGTATATACTTGGTGGGGTAGTATTGTTTGCTCATCACGTAAAGAAAACATGGTCTTGTGGTAGAGCGTCCATCCGGAGAGCGAAAGGTCCAGGGTTCGATCTCGGGCCATGTCAAAAGATGTTAAAGATGATACTAGTTGTTACCCTGCCTGGCGCTCGCCATTAAGGAGCTACAACAAGGACTGGTCACCTCAGAGTCAGTATACTGTTCTGAATGGGGTATTTCTCCTTGTATTTGGTAGGGTACAAAACCTCACTACTAGCCAGTGACAAACACCACTGCATCATTATGTCTAGTAGCCAGTGACAAACACTACTGTGTCATGTCTAGTAGCCAGTGACAAACACTACTGTGTCATGTCTAGTAGCCAGTGACAAACACTACTGCAACATTATGTCTAGTAGCCAGTGACAAACACCACTGCGTCGTTATGTCCAGTAGCCAGTGACAACAATACTGTGTCATGATGTCTAGTAGCCAGTGACAACAATACTGTGTCATGATGTCTAGTAGCCAGTGTATTTTTGTTATGATAACTTTTTAATTGGGAAAGTTTTGTAACAAGATGAATCTATTTGGCAACACTTGATGTACAGTTGTACACCTGAGCTGATTAATGAATATCAACCTATGTGAACACTTACATGAATGTGTGGCTTGGGTGCTTGTTACGTCACATTTGTAACCTAATAGACATGACACAGTAGAACTGTAGACCTGACCATGACCTATGTGAGGTAGATGGTTGAGTCTTTGGCAACACTTGATGTACAGTTGTACACCTGAGCTGATTAATGAATATCAACCTATGTGAACACTTGCATGAATGTGTGGCTTGGGTGCTTGTTACGTCACATTTGTAACCTAATAGACATGACACAGTAGAACTGTAGACCTGACCATGACCTATGTGAGGTAGATGGTTGAGTCTTAGACTTGCACAAGTCTCTAAGGCAATAATTATTAATTTAAATCATAATTTCTAGATTATGTAAATAGTAAGAACAAGTTTTTTCCTATGAGAGATTGGAGTCTTTACTGTCCACATATCTAGACTTGCCTTTTGGGAGAACAGAATTACTACACAACCACAGACTTTTTTTTTAATACAGCCTTGGAGCAAGGCTAATAGAGTCCCCATGCTTCATTGTACTGGGGGTGGACTGAAGCCACGATATTTTGCATCACAGCTCCTTCAAGTACATCAAAGCATTTGATATAAGTTTCCTATAAAACCACTTTTGCTTAACATGCTTTAGGCAGTTTGCTTAACGTAAACTTGATGAAAGGCGCAGTATAGCTTTCCATGCTTTCATTTGTACATATGATGTTGTTATTTGGCTTAGCCTTTTGTGGAGTGCCAGTCTTGAAAATCAAGGTCAATCTCAGATTGTCAGTGGTGTCAGTTTCAAAGAACCACTGGTGTGTCAGCTGTTTGTAAGGAAGTATGGGCCAAATTACATCTACCCTGTTGCCTAAGGCACTAATAAAAGGTTATTTCATTTGCACTGAACATGAAGTACAGTTTCTTGAATTCATTCATGACATCAGACACCAAGATAATACCGCAAATTTGAAATAATATCTATTGTTGAAATGTCATGTATCTCGGGGGTGGGTGCTTATTAAACCCATACACAAGTTGAATTTGTTTTTATTTAAGCGGTAGTTAACAACTTTTAGTTCCCACATTAATATATAAAACATTGATAATAGTTACAAAAGGCATTGCTGTTTTCTGGAAACTGTCATCTAAAGTTTTCAATCTTTGTAGGTTGTGCTTATGAAGATTACTTACAGATTAGACCCATGATTAGATCCGGGGTAGAATAGGTCTTTAGCAACCCATGCTTGCCTTAAAAGGCGACTTTGCTCGTCGTAAGAGGCGACTACCGCGATCGGGTGGTCAGCCTCGCTGACTTGGTTGATGCATGTCATTGATCCCAATTGCGTGGATCGATGCTCATGATATTAATCACTGGATTGTCTGGTCCAGACTTTATTACTTACAGACCGCTGTCATATAGCTGGAATATTGCTGAGTGCGGCGTTAATCAACAAACAAACAAACTTACAGATTGGTATAGAAGTTGGTCAGGGCTGCTTATTGGAGTAAGTCGCTTAATACGGTAATAGTAATACACATACCTGATTAACAGTAAATAATGACATAGTATTGTATGAACACTACTGACACAACAGCTGCATGATTAAGTTGATTGATTGCCAACATTATGCGACACAGCCAATAAACACTGACTAACAGTGATCCATGGAGTTATATATATCATGTATATCAAATAGACAAAATATATCTCATTTATGTGAGGTTGTATATCTGTTGCTCTCAGCCTACTAAGCATTCCAAGTACATGAATTGCATTGTAATCTTCTTTATCTATGTCGCAATTGTACCGTCGATGCAGTGTGTCATACTACATATAGGTGTGTTCATGAACTCAAAAGCGTCGTACTCATGGTCTAGAAAGGACATATATTCATCAATTTTCCTATATTCCTTTTTCCTATAGGGATATTCCTTTTATTATTGTTGCACTCTGACCTGATCGTGAAGATCAGTTAGTTACAATTTATTGTTATACCTCTTTTAAGAATCTTGCAATTCCATTGGTTAACTCATACCATGTGACAAAATAATACATTTCCATGTTGACCCCCAAATCTTGTGACCGACACTGACTTCGCATGCTGACTCGTCACATGATCAGTATTGACCTGTCACATGATGAATATTGACTTGTCTGCTAGGAAACAAGATAGCGTCAGGTACAAACAGAACCATGAAGATCCAGGGTAGAATAGGTCTTCAGCAACCCATGCTTGTCATAAGAGGCGACTAATGGGATGCTGACTTGGTTGGTGCATGTCATCAAATCCCAATTACATAGATTGATGTTCTTGATGTCAATCACTAGATTGTCTGGTCCAGACTTGATTATTTACTGACTGCTATCATATAGCTGGAATATTGGTGAGTGCAGCGTTAAGCAACAAACAAACAAACAAACAAAGGTACTAACATTTCCCAGTTCCCAGCTTAGTTGCTGTTATGACACAAAGGATGGTTTAACACTGTTTAAAGGCTTTATGAACTTCGGTAAAATAAAACGAATGATCACTGTTGACGAGGTCAATATGCACATGAT